GTCCATGGACAGATGAACTGCAGCATATACATACAATAGAATATTATTCAGCCTAAAAATGGAAGGAAACTCTGTCACATACTACACCATGGATGAACCTTAAGGACATTATGCTAAGTAAAACTGCCAGTCACAAAAGACAAATATTGCATGTTTCCATTTATATGAGATATTTAAAGTAGTCAAATGCATAGAAACAAAATGCAAAATAATGGTTACCAGGGGCAGGGAGGAGGGGGAAATGGGGAGCTGTTTAATGGATACAGAGTTTCAGTTTTACAAGATGAAAAAGTTCTGGAATCTGTTTTATAACAATGTGAATGTACTTAACACTACTGAACTAAATACTGAAAAATGGTTAACATGGTAAATTTTTTTTGATGTTGAAAGAACTAAATTGAACTATCTTAGATAATCACAGGAATACAAGCAACAGACATTTTATGTGAGGCCCAGCTCCAATGTCCAAATTTTGTTCCATAATTCAAGGTAACATGGTAAATTTTATGTTATATGTTTTTTACCACAATAAAAGAAAAAATTTTAAGTACCCATTCTGGGATCCTGAGCCACTTAAGAACATTGCCTTCTCCCCTGATCCTCTTTATTAAAAGGTAAAAGTCTAACAGGCAAGTGGCCCCTCACAGTCTGGGCCACTGGAGTCCCATTATTCTTATAAAAAGGTATTGAAAGACAACATCTAGGGTGGCTCCATAGTGTAGTGGTTAGCACGTCTGCTTTATCTTGGACCTTCAGAGATCCAGTTCTTAAAGGGAAATGGCAATATCCATAGGTCAGGAGTGGAAGTGGGGGAGGTGGGGGGCAGAATTAAAGAGGGGAGGACAAAAAAAAAGACGACATCTTAGGAACTACTAGAAAACTGTCCACAGGACAGATCTTAGTAGGAAATCAGACTACTGCTCTCTCAACTTTTGCTGAGCTGACTCGTACTTTTCTTCCCTCCAGCTGTTGAGGGTTTTACAGGACTTTAAAGGAGGTGCCTACCTGCCTGGTATCCCTAGGTCCTATACTCAGTCCTGTAAAGTGGGGGTTGGTTTGACTATCTAATCCCACCGATGGGCCACCTCATGCTAATATGTGAATCCAGTTAAGATCCAGGCAGGTAAATAATGTTGGTCTGCAGAGCAACTCTACGTCCACCAGGGGGCACTGTGCACCACACTGTGCCATGCCCAGTACTTAAGGCCCAGCCACTTACCCATGCAAAACAGGGGCCGCCTGCCTGTCGCCTGGGTCTGATCACCACAGGAGCTAGGTCTGGGTTGAGGGCCTAGGTCTCCTCCAACAGAAGCTCCTTTGTTTGTTCAGAAGCCGTACTGACCCTCCCAGAGTATGAGCGCATCAAACAAGCTGAAGGGTTTTAATCAGTAATTCCTCTTCTAAAGCAAGCAGAGCCCTGGAGGAAAGGATTGGTCACATTCCTTAAGAAAACCAAGCTTTGACCAATTAGGAGGGCCCTGGAGAAAAGAAAAGCCACATTCTGAAGCCATCATAAAATTCCTGCGCCCAAAGTGCTTGAAAACAAACCTAAGAAGTCCCAAAGAAGTAGCTGATGGAGGGTTCTGGAAACTGGCAGGTCACCTGTTTCCTGTGGCAGCACTGTTCCCACCACTGCCCAGCTTCCGTGATCCCCATCACACAGACCAATTTCCCCGGGGCCATAAACACAAAGCGGCTGTCTAGAACGGGCCCCGTACTACAGTGCATTCACTCACTTCCATTCTGGCGTTTCATTCCACACATCTCTAAATGAATACAAGCTCATTTTCAGGAGTCCCAGAAAACTGCTGCCTGCACAGGAAAAGTGCAGGAGAGGATTTGGCTCAGGGAGGACATTACTGTTTATGTGCACTTACTCCCCGCTCCAGCTCTTGGGTCCTGGCCCAGGTAGGCGGCCTGTCTGATTCCTCTGCCCTCCTCAGTGTGGCCCCAGCCTCACAGGAACTCACGGGAAAAGGTGTGGAAAGTTCCACTGCTTCCTAGGATGCCTGCTGCCTGAATCCTAGTAGTTGCTGCGAATGCAAATGCCTGTCCCCAGCTCAGTGACCGTCGTTTTTCTACTTGGTGAGATGCGAGAGGCTGAGGGCCACTTGTTGGAAAAGAGAGAGCCTGAAGGCAAGGGCCAGGGTCAGGCCCCTGGCGCCCCAGGCCATCACCCACTTGCAAGCCCTCACCGTGCAGATGAGGTTGTCCCAGTACTTGCCCCACATGTTCGCACAGCCTGTGATGTCGATGGGTAGCTGCTGGTGGGCTCCCAGCATGTCCTTGGTCAAGGGCACCATTGCCTTTTCTCAATTTTGGCAACTCCCAGAATCTTCCCCTAGACTAGGTTTGAGCCAAGATGAGCTCATAGTTCTAAAGACCTGAAGCCCTCACCACCACTTGGTCCAACAGAAGAAACCAGCAGGGTGGCCATGGTAGGGGCAAAATTGAATCTAAAAATAAAGGGCCAAAACTCAAGGACCAACTCGTACTTTTACTGAAGGCACAAGAGAGTGTGGAGACAGTATGTAGAGCATGGGCAGAGAGGAGAGGGACACAATATACACTGGGCTTTGAAGTGATCATTGGGAGGCTACAGCTAGACAGAAATGGAGTTGGGGCAGCAAGGAAGAAGCAAGGGGCTTCACCCTTGAGTCTGAGTCACCCTGCAGGACCTTGTTGGCAAATATGGACTAAGTGGATGAAGAGCTAGCATAGCATGTACCTCTCCGTTACCATCCTGGGGGAGGGCAGGAGGGTGAGACACCACAAGCAAATAAAGTTAACAGCTAAGTTCTCTGGGATTTCATCTTTTTGGTCCCCAGTCCTTAGGCTCTGAGTCCATGACTCTTCATAGTCCCTCCTCCCAAGCCCATTCCAACTCCTTTCCTGGAGGGCAAGGAGGGTGCTGGTCAGTAAAGGCTTTTCCTAACCCATGATTGAGCTCCAGGGGCTCGAGTGTTGGTTCAAGGGATGAGTGACCAGATGAACAATGCTCAGTGTACTATCACATTCCCCTGGGACTGGCCACTGGGAACAGGTTCTTCCCTGCCCTAGGCACATTCTGGCAACCTAGAAGACTTATGGATGTATCCTAACAGCCCAGCTCACATTTCTTAGACCTCCTTGCCTCTACTTCAACAAACCACTTAAGAATCAGGTTTTCGGCCTCTGTGATCCTGAATTCTGGAACCTCCCTTTCTGACTCCCATCTTTGGACAACACATACTCCCTCTCTCCCATTTCACCTCGCCAGCACCCTGGATACCTCTGCTCCTCCCTGCCCTGCTGTAGATACTGGTGATGCCAATCACCAGCCATGGGCATTTCCCTGATAGGCTTCTCAGCTCCCCTTTCCATAAAGCTGTAAACCAGCATCACTATGCATATCCAGCTGCCACACAAAACCTCCAGTGCCCATTCCCCAGGGGAACAAGACCAAAACGTCTTTGTTTCCTTTCCTCAAGTCCCTACCCCACTCCTGCCACTCTCATTTCCAGCAGAAAACTGGCTACCTACAAAAAACAAGTTTCTCAGGCAAAAACCCCTCAACTTCCTTACCTTCCATCATCTTCACCTTCCGCTCTTGGAGGAAGACAGTTCCCACCCCCTCAACAAGAATTCTGTCCCTTCTAAGACCTGGCCCTACTCATCCCCCAAACCTTCAGGTCTCACTGCCAACTCTTTCTTCTTGTGCTATAAACATGCAAGTCACCTAAAAACAGCTTCCTTCACCTTCACTTCCAACTACCTGTCTTCACCTCTTGAATTCCTAAGGGGAGAGTCAGCAGCCCTACTTCTACTTCTTCATTTGCTGCTCACTTCTCAACCTGTTAACCCTACAAGTGTTTGCATCTATGTGTTATTGCTGTCTTCCAGTCTTCTAATTTTCAAATCAAATACTTTCTTGGTCTTTTTGCAATTAGATTTCTCTGCAATCTGACATAGCTGACAGACTTAATTTTTGCCTTGCTGACACTAAACTCTTCTTAATTTGCCTAATTTTTTTTACTCTTTTACTTTTCTATCATTAATTGCTTTCCCTCTCATACATACCCAGTACATCAGGGTATAGTCTCCCCATATCCCCTCTTAAGCCCCCCATTTTCTCTATACCAATGCTTTTCTTTTTAACTAAACTTTTTATTTTGAGATATTTAGAGGTTTGCATGCAGTTGTAAGAATATGAGATCCTGTGTATGCTTTGTCTAATTTCTCCCACTGATAACATCTTACAAAACTATAGAATAACATATCACAATCAGGATACTGACATTGATACAGGTAAAGCACAGAAGTTTCATCACCACAAGGATTGATTACGTTGCCCTTTATAGCCACAGTCCCCACCACATCCCATTCCCAGTGGCTTTTAAAGATGGAACTATCAGAAACTTCTTTTAAACTTCTCACACCCACTAGGGGGACACATTAGGATTGGAGTTTGGGGGTAGGCTGCCCAGGTAATTCTGATGCATGCCTAATTAAGAACCACTGCTCAGACTCCCTCAGTACCCAGTATCAGCTACTCTTGTAATTCTATTTTTCCTAGCAGACACTTTCTAAACCTGGATCTGAAGCCATATTGTTCTTCAGAGAAGTCAGAAAAGACTGGCCCACTAGCTACTGCCACCAGACAAACCTATGGGTTCCCAAAGCAACCTCATCCAGCTCCCTAACCTTGAGTTCATTCATTCACGTACTGAATGTGCATTAAATCCTATAGGGGTCAGGGCAGTTATCTGACACAGTGTTCATCTAGCCACCTGGCCCAGGTATCCCACAACGCCTCCACACTACCCAGGCTCCTGGCCCTCAGCAGGGTTCACAGAACGCATAAGTGTCACGTGTATTTGTCTCCTGCTGCCTTCAGTGAGCACCTATTAAGTCAGTGCCCACTCTGCCACTGCCCCTCCCCCACTCCTTACCACTCCCACCCACAGAAGGGAAGACTGCGCTTGCAAAAAAGCTCTCCGGGAAAATCAGGAGGCCCTTACCTCACAATACACAATGTCCGCTCCATAGTCCAGGGCTAGCAGCCGCATCGGGAGAGTCCCTACCCGAACCATAGGGGCTAAGATGAGTTTGTTGTGGTAGCACAGTGAGAAGCTGTTAACAAGCATTCCTCCTCTGCTACAGCCTGAAGAAAGGGAAAACATGAGTCAGAAATTCAAATGGAGAGAATCTCTTCTATTATCTAGGGCAGGCTTTCCTTCTTCCTCTCAACACACAGCACCTTGCTGCCCCTTCCTCTGATCATAAATATGACAGATGCTCATTCATTCACCCAACAAATATTCATTAAGTGCCTAGTCTGTGCCAGTCACTGTCCTGGTCTTTTGGGATACATTAGAGAAGACAGACAAAAATTCCTGCTCTGGTAGAGCTTTCATTCTAGTTGGGGAACACAGGCAAAAAAAAACAAAAAAAAACAAAAAACAATACGCATAACCAATAAATAAATTAGGTAGTATGTTGGAAAATTGGTACAATCAGCCCACCATATCCATGGGTTTTACATCTACAAATTCAACCAACTGCAGATCAAAAATATTTGTTAAAAAAATCCCAGAAAGGTCCAAAGAGCAAAACTTGAATTTGCTAAGTACTAAGCGTTATACTAAATCCACATGAATGAAGTGATAGGTAGGCATGCCCTGCTGTAGTGTATATGAAAATACAGGTTACATATAAATATAAAGCCATTTTATATAAGGGACTTGAGCATCTAGATTTTGTTTTGCAGGGGAGGGAGGTCCTGGAACCAATCCCCTACATTCCCCACATCCAATTCTAGATCCTGTGGAAATAATCTTCAAAATGTAACTCCCATCCATCTGCTTTGCTTCATTCTATTGCTACACCACTGCGTACTAAGCCAGCCTCCTAATGGGTTTCTCCAAATCTACTCTTGCCTCCTCCTATTCATTGTCCTCACAATAGTCAGCATGACACTGAAAAAGGCAAGGTCACGTCTTTATTTATACCCTACAATGGCTTCCCACTGTGTTTAGGATAAATCCTAACCCTTCCAATAGCCCGTAAAGCCCCGCATGACCTGTCCCTGCCCACCTAGCCAGCCTTGCCTTAAGCCTCTCTCCTCCTCACTCTCCACTCTGGCCACCCTGGCATTCTTTTAAAGTCTCCCACACCAAGCTGTCTGATGCCCCGGGGCCTGTGCACTTGCAGTTCTGGCTGAATCGCTCTCCCTGACTAAGGTCTTCTTGACCTTGAATGTCCCCTCTTTGTATGTGCTTCCCTACCCAGCAATCTAACTTCAGGTCCCTAGTCACATGCTCTCATACCTTGTGCTTCCTATAGCTCAGTTACAATCCATGTGTCCACACTTACTCGTGTGGTCTCTCGTTCAACCCTGAGTTCCTCCTCTAGACCACCAGGACTACAAACTCCACAAGGGTAGGAGTATAGCTGCTTAGTTCACCACCAGGTTTCTAGCACTGAACCCAGTACCTGGCCCTTAGCAGTTGCTCTGTAAGGTGTGACTGAACACTCCCCTCTGTGGTGGCTGGGAGGACATCCTCTTATAGAGCGGTTGGTCTGGTACCTCCATCTGGCACAGTAGCAACAGTGCCTGACAGGCCTTGCCTCCAAGAAACCCCCTCTCAGAGAAGCTAAGCAGCCCCAACCCTTCCCCAGCCACTGTTACAACCACTTACCAAGCTCTGAGGTCACACCCAGATCACGATTTTAGTCACACACTCTCAACCTCTTATATCATTTCTTAAGGGCTAGTCTCCCCTATGACATTTTGATGACTCCCAATTTCTTTCTAGGTAACCTTAGCTTCAGCTGCGTGGACACAACATCCCATTACTTATAAGGTTTTTGGATTGAACATAACACTATTCAGGGAAAGCAATGAATGGAAAAACTTTACCAGTCCCCTCCATGTCAATTTTCCCAGAGGCTATATGACCTTGCTTAAAAAGCAATTTCTTTAAAATACAACTTTAGAGTTAAAATACAAATCAATTAGAATTAAATATTGAGTTATCCTATTTCCCCTTCAAAACATGTGTAAATGAAAAAAAAAAAAAAAACAACCTAAAATGACCCATTTATTTTTAAGAGAAAGAGGCTATATAGTATATTATTGTTAAGATTCTGTACTCTGGAATGACAGACCAGCACTAGAATCCCAACTCTGCCCCTGGGCGGATTAAATAACCTAGTCGAGGCTCAGCTTCTCCCCCTGGAATACAAGACTCCAACAGAACCCATGTCAGGTGGGATGCTGTGAAGAATAAATTCCACGATGCACAATAGTTCTTGGCACACATAAGGGCTTAAAAATGTGAACTGCTTTCATTACCAGGCTTTTACACTTTCCCGGTTGTGCCTTCTAGAATGGTACATACCATGGCACATCTCATCTTTTTTCCATCTGGCATATTCCCAAAATACATGAGGACGGTTTTGTTCTCCCTAAACTTCTCTTCTGCAGCTTGACAGCCTTGAGTCACTCTTTCTGATGTTTATGATTTTCAGGGGGCCCTAAGGTTCTTGATCCCAAGGGCATGACAAGCATGGTATCGGTGTGCCTGCTACACAGTCTGGAAGTGGGGCAGAGCCAGAACAAGAGTTTGGCAAATGAGCCTATCTCAAGTGAGCGTACATGTAACCTCAGCCTCTCTTCAGTCCTCATCCTGTATCCAAGGTTTCTCAACAGCAAACTATTGACATTTTCGGCCACATAATTCTTTTTTTGTGGGGGGTCGTCCTGTGCATTGTACGATGTTTATCAGCATCCCTGGCATCTCTACCCGCTAGATGCCAGTAGCACTTCAACCCCAGCTGTGACAACTAAAAATGTCTCCAGCCATTGTCAAATGTCCCAGGGGAACGGGTGGGGACAAAATTAATGACTATTCATTGTCACTACTCAAAACTCCCTCCTCCGCTGGTTTAACTCTCCAGAAAATCTACTCAGGTGTCAAAATAGTATTAGAAATTTTAAAAGTACTTATCTCTTTAATGGTATTTGACAAAACTAAAACACTTTCTCCATAGGTTAACAATCTCGCATTCACCTTGTCTTCAGCCCCAGACACTGGGAACTACAGAAAAAATCTGACACCCATTTTCCAGATCTATTCAAGAAGTATGAATAGTGTAGGGTTTTTCTGCGACCTGGACATCTGAATTCACACAAAATATTCTACCCGACCAGGGCTATGTGAGACAAGCCACATACCTGGTCACTCCGTAGGGTAGCAGGACCCTCCTCACTACTATTCAAGTATTTTAAGTATTTGACTGGGAAGCCAGTGGAGGTGAGTGATCGCAAAATTGGTGGGTTCAGGATGAGAAGCTGGGTGGAGTGACAATGGAGTGGAGGGTGGAAAGCAACTGAAGGAAAAATGTTAGAAGAGATAGTCAACTTGAAATAAAGCCTAAAGATCTTAACAGAGAGAGTAAGCTGAAGGCTACCAGGTTGCTCTCTGGGCTCTCAGGTGGGCGGGGGTGAGATGGGTGAGCCTAGATCTAAGACACTTGGCCCCTGTCTCGGCCCCCAGGCCTGGCCATTCATTCAGACTCTCAATAAACACTTATTACCAGACCTTGAGCAGGGACCACATCTGGGGAAATATCGCCGCACCCTCGGAGTTTACAGGAGGAGACCAGCACTGAACAAGCCATCACAGGGGAGGTGAGGGTGACAAAGGAGAATTGCAGGGATCAGACACCCAGTCGCCAGAAGCCCTCCGCCCTCCTGGTGCCTAAAGCCAGGGCCTCCTCGCCGCGTATCGCCGGGCCCCAGTCCTGTCTCCATTGCGCAACCTTCCCCAAGGGTGGCCCGGGTCTGGACGTCGCCAACCCTTGTTCGGACCTACAAACCTCGCCGCTGCTGAATTCTACAAATTCTCCCTCCTTGCCTGCAGTTCGCCAACTCCGCGTGCCTTGCTGAGCCGCGCCGGCCACCGTCTGCGAGGCCTTGGCGCGCCCGTGACGTCACTGTCATGCGTCTCTCCAGCACCCAGGAGAACATGGCTCTAGGACGGTCGCCTCGGCTGCTGATGCTCACGGCTCGGTTCCTTCTGGTGCCTCGACGGGACTTTGCGGTTAGCGGTCCCAACGAGCCCCTACCTGTGGTGCGCATCCCACGGGCTCTACAGCGGCGGCAGGAACAGCGGCAGAATGGACGGCGGAGCACCCCGCGGCCGGTGCTGGTGCGACCTGGCCGGCTGCTGATCTCAGCGCGGCGGCCGGAGTTGAACCAGCCAGCGCGCCTCACGCTGGCTCGTTGGGAGAGCGCGCCACTCGCTTCGCGTGGCTGGAAGAATCGGCGCGCCCGCTGGGACCATTTCTCCATTGAGCGCGCACAGCACGAGGCACCAGCGCTGCGGAACCTGTCATCCAAGAGCAGCTTCGCCGACCTAGGTCTGGAGCCCCGCGTGCTGCGCGTACTGCAGGAGGTCGCTCCCGAAGTCGTTCGGCCCACAACCGTGCAGTCGAGTACCATCCCCCCACTACTTCGCGGCCGCCACATCCTTTGCGCCGCGGAAACAGGCAGTGGCAAGACTCTGAGCTACCTGCTACCGCTGCTTCAACGGCTCTTGGGTCGACCAAGCCTGGATTCTGGCAGTATCCCTACTCCACGAGGCCTGGTCCTTGTGCCTTCGCGAGAATTAGCCGAACAGGTGAGGGCCGTGGCCCAGCCCTTAGGCAGCTCCTTGGGAGTCCAGGTACGGGAGTTAGGGGGAGGCCGTGGCATGAGTAGGATCAGGCTGCAGCTGTCCAAACAACCACCAGCAGATATACTAGTGGCCACTCCGGGGGCTCTGTGGAAGGCTCTGAAACGTCAACTGATCAGCCTGCATCAGCTCTCCTTCTTGGTGTTGGATGAGGCAGACACACTGTTGGATGAAAGTTTCCTGGAACTCGTGGACTACATCTTGGGAAAGAGCCATATAGCAGAAGGGCCAGATGACTTAAAAGACCCCTTCAATCCCAAAGCTCAGTTGGCACTGGTGGGAGCCACATTTCCCGAAGGTGTAGGCCAGCTGCTGAGTAAAGTCGCCAGCTCAGACTCTCTAACCACTATCACCAGCTCCAAGCTCCACTGTATCATGCCTCATGTCAAACAGACATTTATGAGGCTGAAGGGAGCAGAGAAGGTAGCTGAGTTGGTGCAGATCCTCAAGCAGCATGACAGAGCACATAGGACTGGCCTCTCAGGAACTGTTCTGGTGTTCTGTAATAGCTCCAGCACTGTGAACTGGCTGGGATATATTCTGGATGACCACAAAATCCAGCACCTAAGGCTGCAGGGACAAATGCCAGCCTCAATGAGGGCAGGTATCTTCCAGCGCTTTCAGAAGGGCTCCCAAGACATACTTCTTTGCACAGACATAGCCTCTCGGGGCCTGGACAGTACCCGTGTGGAGCTAGTTGTCAATTATGATTTTCCCCTCACCCTGCAAGACTACATCCACAGAGCAGGGAGGGTGGGCCGTGTGGGGAGTGAGGTGCCAGGCACAGTCATCAGCTTTGTTACTCATCCCTGGGATGTGAGCTTGGTTCAGAAGATTGAGCTGGCAGCTCGCCGGAGGAGAAGCCTTCCAGGACTAGGGTCCTCAGTGGAAGAACCTTTGCCCCAGCTGGCTTAAATGTGCTATAATAGGGATCTTTCCATGTGTGCTGAGTGGGTGAGCACACTTGTCAGTAGGATGCTTCAGCTGCCCAATCACCTCCCTGAAGGTCCAGAGAGCTGCTAATTGGCTTTGAAAGGTAAGCTACTGGCCAACATTGGAGAGTGAGCTACTGAGCATGGCTCTCTGTAGTCTTTTACATGACTTGTGAAAAATAAAGTGGATTTTGGCAATGTATTGTGTCATGATTTCTAACAATAAATGATGTTTTTATGGGTCTCCCCTAATAATAGTTACCACAGGGGCAGAACTCATTGAATTCTGAGAAAACTCACGCTCCAAATTGTCATACCTACGACAAAGGCTCTTTCAATTGATGCTTTAGTTTGTAAACATTTAGATTATATTTCCTAACCCCAAAACATCTATTAAGCCCCCCACAAGAAGGGAAAGGGGATGTGACTAGCAGTAGTCTTTACCAACAGTGCCCATTGCAAGCTTGGGCACTCCTGGTGAAATCTTTGGGAAATACTGGCATAAGAATAAAAGGAAGACTGATGCAGAAGTATTGCTTGGTGTGCATTCCAGGAAAGAAGGTCTCTCTCTGCCTTCTGGCCTATCTCTTGGTGGCAGAGGAAAAGGGGAGAGGATTAAACTGTTTACAAAACTGCAAAATAAGCATATAGCATCTTCTCACTATCTCCAAGGTTCCAATCTATGCAACATTATATAATCTTTGCTTCAAGTAATGAATAGTTGAGAGGCAAATATAATACTCCACAAAACAACTTAGAAATACTTGCCCCACTGAAAAAGTTATTTCCAGAGAACAAATGGGCCCAGGACAACCTTTGCCAAAAGAGAATATTGTGCTAAGTGTACAATTATAGCCCTCTTTTCTCTGTGAAGAAACTGAGGCTCAGGGGGATAAAAACTTGCTCAGAATCACAGTAAGTTGGGCAGAATTTGGTCTGTTCTTCATCACCATGCTAGCTTTTCTCAAGTGTGATTCAGGCACAAAATAATTGTACATCTCTTCCTTGAATATTCCTTGTTTAGATATACGCTACCATAGTTTTTTACATTGCCCTCTTTGACTCTCATAAATGACCCAGTTTAGAAAATAATTTAGTCACTATCAATGGACCATTCGCAGAACTGCCCAGGACGCTTGTTAAAAGTGCAAATTCCTGAGCCCCACTCTAAATCTCCATGTTTTCTGAGGGTTGGCCCAAGAATTCGTGTACAATTATTTCAAATTGTTTTGTGGAATGCCCAAGTGAATCTCAAACCCTCAAGTTGATAAACCTTTGGCTATGCTATTCTGCCTTCCCCAGAGGCCAAGATAGGTCCTGAGAAGGTACCAATACCTTCACCAAGTAATCTGGATCCTTGGAGAGTCTGAGTAGTCTCGTTAGCCCGCCTGCTAGGACAAACCTCCAGAGCCCTCACCTTTACATTTTACCTTTTACCACTCCTCAAAGGTAGTCTTCTCTAATTCGGCCTGACTTCATCTGTCCTAACATTCACCTTTCTAATTCAAGCAATTTAGAAGTGAGAGAAGGTGCCGTGGTTCTCCACCGGGGTTACCTAACCTCAAATAGTAGCCTCGGCAGTCTACCTCCTGGACACATCCCCTCTGCAACAGCCCCAGTAAACAAATGTCCCATCTTTGCTTCTTAAAGGTCAGTGACAGGGAACCCCCTCTTAAAGGAAGTTCTTTCTCATTGTTAGGAAGTTGTTGGCCACACCATATCAGAGGGGGACCCAATTATGGTCTCTTCCTATGGCCCTGATCTTGCTACAGGTGGAGTTGTCTATTTCTTCCTCTGAGTAATCTTACTAACACCTCTTCACAGTGGTGACTGTGTTTTTCACCTGGGCTGCTGCTGTGCCCACATCTCCTCTTCCCAGGATTGTCATTATTTGCCTTTTAGAGGGAGGGGAGACTGTAATGATTGGGTTGTCATTTTTTTTGTATTATGTCATTTTGTTATGAATTTGTTTTGAATTTCATATTAAAGTAGGCCCATCATTTCCATTGTGTGAAGTCATTCAAGACCCTCATTTTGCTTGGAGCGCCTTTAACATCTCCTAGTGTCACTTTGAAATGTGATGAGTTTGTCCTTATATTCCTATCAGCTGTAAATCTAGAGCCCAAACATGAAGCCCTATCACTGAGCAGAGCACCTCTCCACTACCTGCATGAGCTTGAATAGGCCCCTTCACCTCTTGTTTTTTTGAGTCCTCAGTTCTAAAAATGTCAGGGTTCTATGAATTTACATTTGAGGCAGGACAAGGTCAAGAAGAGCTAGCCTTTGCATTTCTTCTTCCTAATTGTAATGTCTTCCCTCTTCTCTCCATGGGTCCAAATCTCACTTGTCCTTCAGGCCCACTGCCAAGGAGCCTTCCCTGATTCCCCAGCCCACACAAAATCTATGCCTAATTGTTGAATACTTAAGGTGTCATACAACTTAGCTATCTCTTAGGTTAATCTTGCCTCTCAAACTAATCTCAGAATGTGGGTTTCTCTTGCTCTCCTGTGGTCCCTGGGGCTGTGCCAGCCCACAGGTATGTTCCACAGGGAGTGGCTACTTGTCTAGGGCATAGGTAGGGAGGGCCAGGTGTGAGGACCCAGACAGGGTGCCTCTCTGCCTCCACCTTGCTGTTCATAAAACCTCATGAGCCCGACACCTGCCCTTCAGGCCACAGATTCTTTATATGACCTCACTGGGTAGTGATGACCTCACAGGCCTTCTCACAGTTTCCATGGCAGGGTAACTACCCAAACGTGGTACTCTATAGGGAACTTCCCTACCAGTTCTCTACCAGATACCAATCTGTTTGGTTGCCTGAGAGAGAGATGTCTGACCGGATCTTCTATATTCACTCTAACTTGTCCTCTGTCCCCTGGGAGTGCAGCACAGCAGGTAGGCCTACGCTGGGCATCCATACAAGAGGCACTGATATACACAGACCCTCACCTGGCTAGCCCACCACACAGAACTTCCCTAGCTGAAAGTAATACCAATGGCCTGGGGGCCCCTCAGGGATCCACAGTGTTTCTGCTCACCGCTGAGGACAAGTGCAGTGTCATCCCTTGGCAAGTGTTCAGAAAGTTTCTAATCTTTATAAATAGCCTTCCCTTTTGTGCTACAAGATGCTTCCATTCAGACCTTTTACAGATTGGCCTCTTAGCAAAAGTCAAGTGCATTTTTATTGGCAAATGATAAATGGAGAAGTTCGAGGAAGAACTACTGAGGGCCACTCATGAACCTCACATTCAAACCTAGGCATCTTACTGTGCTGTCATGTAGACATCCACATGGATCTCCTCAGACACATCCTTGACTGAGCTGCTGAGTACTGGGGAAAAGGGTAATATAACATCGATGGGAAAAACAAAAGAGCCAAGGGGAGTAATGAAGTGGTACTGAGACTGGAGTGCTGAGGAAATGGTGTCCCAGGGGGTTGGGTTGATGTGAGCCTAGACTTGGTACCCAGAATCTGGCTCTGAACCTCCTGGTCACTCTGCCTCAGTATTTGGCCTTTTTCTCATCTAGATAAAAGTATCAGAAGGCTAGAGTTCAATATGATTGAAACAGGCAGTATGAATGGGGCCCAACAGGAATTGCCAAGTTTGGAGGGGTTCTTAACCGATTTATATTAGATTATTTTTTTCTAAAACTTGAAAAGCATTTCCATTAAAGGTTCAGAAGTGACAGACCTTAAGAAAATGTTTCTCTGTTGTAGGAGAGATGGAGGAGATCCTGATTGCAATTATTTTTGGGTTGTTTTCTCTGGAAATGGGGGACAGATACTCTGGTCTCCTGCTGCTGCCATAGGCCCCACAGAATTGCTTTTGCAGCCAACATCCTTTCTCTAGAGAACTCACAGAGTGATGGGCCAAGGCTGTGTTTTGGATGCCAAGCAGATTAGAAGGCTTTGGCCAGAAACTGGGAGAGACGAGAGGGGAGGTCCCAGCAGAATGGTATACAGCAGAATGACCAATCAGTTCTGATTTTCTTTCCAGCAGCAGTGGCTCCCACTTTTCCTCCTACACCTGGTCACTACCATGTCCTCTACCGAGGGTGTGGAGAAACCCAGGTGGGCTGGCATGGGGAGACATACTGCCTGGTTGGTGGTTACCGGGCCTATGGGGATGCTCCTGTGGCCACCCCAGCAAAGATGGAAGCAGAGAAGCCAGTTCCCAGCCGGGCTCCCAAGAGACGTCGAGCTCTAGCAGAGTCGGACAAAGACCTAGATTGCTCCAGCCTCAAAATGCAGCAATTGCAGCACAGTAGCAGGAGGCTGACCCCGCAGAAGCTTACTGGCTAAGGCACTTTGTAGAGAGGACAAACGTCAAACTGCCTAAGATAGATAATGCCTCTTCCTGCAGTTACCCCTGCTGCCCACCCCTGGAGATCAGAACCTGAGCCACTCTGTCTAAGCCTTCCTTAGCCAGGAGCCTCCTTCCATACTAAAAGCCATGGTCAAGGAGCCTCAGAAACAAGTTTGAAATGAGAAGCTTCTGTGAACATCCCAGGGCTGAAGCTAGCCTGGAAGAAAACCTGCTCAATCCTCAAGAGTCCCTTCTTGGGCAGAAGAAAGAAAAGTCTGCACTCTATGAGCCAAGTAGGACCCAGGAGTAGAGATGGTACAGAGTGGCCTTAGCAGGGGCCCAGTCTACCAGATGGGCTTCCGCCCTGAGTCATTGCCAGCGGCCACCAACACAAACCAGAGGAGCTGGGCTTCTTGAAACTGAAAGAAGCAACCTGTGGCTACACAGGAATTCTCCTGCCTGGGGTCTCAAGAGGTAGAATAGAGAGACCCAAGAAGACCTGTTCCCTGCAGTAGGAACAGGATAGAGAGAGTCAAGCAGCACCTGCCTCTTGAAGCTCACATGCTCCTCTATTCCCAGCCTTTCTGGCCCCAGTAGGGTCTCTTACTGCTCAATAAAATGATTTTCTGTAACAGTGTTTGACCTGAAATCCTGTCCAAGGCCAGGTCCCAAACCTCCCTCTTCCCTTGAAGTATATTCCCAAGTGGGATGCTTGGTCCTGTAAGACCATCTGCCTCCAGAAAGGACCCTTGGGTGCAGCTTCTAGGTGGCTCTTGCAATGACACCTGTGCAAATTGGGGCAGGACACAGGCAAGTTCTTTAAGAAATGCAGACTGATGTGCAGTGTGTGTGTGTGTGTGTGTGTGTGTGTAGAGAAAGGCAAGACTAAGAATATGCTGTTCCATCTATCAATCCACCCATCCATCTATCCATTTATTCAACAAATATTTATTGAGCACCTGTGCGTGTTGCTTGGGACATTTTGGTGAATGGGATGTTTGAAGCCCCTCTCCTCAAGGTAGCACAAACTAAAGGAAGATACAAAAAATATAATTTCAGGTAATTATAATTGCCTGATAGAGTGATGAGGGGGTGCTAGGTTATACAAGTAGTCTGGGAAGTCTTCTTTGAGGAAGTAACATTTCAGTGGAGATGTGAGAAGCTGGAGGAAGAGTATTCCTGGAGGAGGAAATGTCAAGTGCAAACACCTTGAGGTAGGAGTGAAGCTGGCCTATTCTAGGACTAGCAGAAAGGCCAGTGTGGCCAAGGAGGAAAAAGAAAAGAAAGATGTGATGAGAGAAGTAGGCATGGGCCTTGTCAGCCGTGGTGAGGAGTGTGGATCTTTTCCTTTTCGATTACAGTTGGCATTCAATATTACATTAGTTTCAGATGAGGAGTATGGATCTTAAGTGTGATAGGAAGTCATGGGCTGGATTAGAACAGGGTAGTGAAGTGATCTGATCTAAGATGATAGATCATTCTGACTGCTCTGTGCCATGGCAGTGAGGTACTGGCTATTACCAATAGAACATCCCAGCAGTTAAGGAGACAGTTGGTCCTGGGGAGTGGGGGTGGGGGAATATCAGCAGAGAGGAAAGAGCACAGTGTTTGGGCCTGTGTGTCAGGCCCACCTGCCTCAGCTGCCCAGAACAGAAAGGGGCACTGTCAGCATCTTGTAGCCCTCAGACCCAGGTGAAGCCACCTACCCTGTGTGTCCTCAGGGGCCACAGCAGCAAGACTGTTGTTACCAGTCCCCTGATACATTCCCTCAAGGTCAGAGAAGGTCCTGATAAGAAGTTTCCCTAACCAGGGTTAGAAGAAGGAGGCACAGGCCCTGGGGGGAGTCCCAGAAGATTCCCACAGTGAATCTCAGTTAACACACAAAAGATAGCTAATGCCTCTTCCTGCAGTGACCCACACACACACCGCCCCCACTGCCCAGCACTGGAGAATCTTAGTATTTTATCTCTGATACTTGGTGTGACTGAGGCTGACTTATGGTTACTGGCTGAGTCAGATGGGTTGGCAATTTCCAAATACGAGGCAAACTGACCTACCCGGGAAAAATTAGAGACACCCTGCCCCCAAAGCACCCACACCAGTTCTACTGAATACATTTTTATAGTGGGGTCCATATATAAGTGATATCACGTGGTATTTGTCTTTCTCTGTCTGACCTATCACTTAGCATAATGTCCTCAAGATTCATCCAAGTTGTCACAAAGGCAAGATTTACTAATTTTTTATGACTGAATAATATTCCATTGTATGTATAAACCACATCTTTATCCATTCATTCATCAGTGGGCACTTAGGTTGTTTTTATATCTTGGCTATTGTAAATAACACTGCATTGAACATGGGCGTGGTGAGGAGTGTGGATCTTCCCAGTTAGTGTTTTGGTTTTCTTCGAGTAAAAATCCAGAAGTGGAGTTGCTGGATCATGTGGTAGTTCTATTTTCAATTTTCGAGGAACCTCCATATTGTTTTCCATGGTGGCTGCACCAATTTACAATCCCACCAACAGTGCACAAGAGTTTCCTTTTTTTCACATCCTCACCAAAACTTGTCATGTCTTGTTTTGTTTTTATAATAGGAGTGAGGTGATATCTCATTGTTGTTTTGATTTCCATTTTCCTGATGATTAGTGATGTTGAGCACCCTTTTGTTTAACTTTGACCATCTATCTGTCTTTGGAAAAATGTCAATTCAGATCCTCTGTCATGATCAAACTTTTAAAAAGAGCCCTTATCTTTTAGAAATGCAGACTTAAATATGGATGACATAGTGTCTGATTTGCTTTAAAATATTCTGTAGCAGAGGATGAGTAAGGTATAAATGAAACAAGATGAGCCATCAGTTGATAATTGTTGAAACTGGGTGATGGATACATAGGAGTTCAATACTCTTCTCCCTACTTTTTTACATGTTTGAAAATTTCCCTAATAAGTTAAAAGAAATAAAAATAAAAGCCTCTAAGTGCAGCCTGATGTTCAGCCAGATTTGGATTCGGTGAAGGCTCAGATTGTCATCTTCACAGGGTAAACTAGCTTGTGGGAGCCATGGAAACCAAGCAGAGGAAGGCAGGCTTCCTGCATAAAAACAGGAAGCACAGAGGGTTCTGGAGCAGGGTATGCAGTACACAACTTGTTTGTTACGGAAGATGGGTCTGATAGGCCTCAGAGATGAGCAGGTCTGAACTTGAGGTTAAATGAGAAATCACATACGGCACGGAGTAAATGTTTCGTCAGGGCTGCTCCTGGTTCCTGGTGCCCCCACAGCCCACCCTTCTGTGTGTTTATGCCAGCATGTGTGATAGATTATTAAAGACTTGTTCATACCCCAGCAAAGAGCCAACACCAGTGGATGATCAATAAAGGATATCTGGACAAACAAATGGATGTAAGGGATTCGAAGCTTCTCCTAGTAAGAGACAGAGAAGCTGGACATCAAGGAGTCCAAGGAATCCCTGTCTGACTTGGCCAGGAGGGCTTCACTGCCTGTCCAGCAGCTGGTCTCCCTACACCTGTCTTCCCATTCAGCCAGGTTCAAGTAGAATTCTGTCCCAGGGCCAGTGGGCTACTCTACTTCTCACTGCTGGCTTCCCCAGATGGCTTCCTTATGTCCCATGAACCCTCACTGAAGACAGGTCTAGTCCAGCCCAACCCTGGCGAGCCTGGCAGTGGTCAACAGGAGGTGAGGGAGCATATGCAGAAGCAGACAGTGCAGAACTTACCAAGTGGTTAGCAGTCATTCTCCAAAGCTCTGTCCCCATCAGGGCCTGAAGCACGCTCAAAGGAGCCAAAAGAGACAAAGACACTGGGCGGATCTGGTGTGTGGTGCCAAAGAGCCCCAGAAAACAAAAAGCTAAATATATTCCTCCTCCACAGACTCTAAGTCCTACTGTCCTGAATTCCCAAATTCAGGAATTCCCCTGCCCTGTGTTCTGGATTTGGATTCAGGGAGGCTACCAGACAGAGGGGTTCAGAGGTCAGAAAAGGGCATCCATGAGCTGGGGCAACTGCTTTGTACCTAGAGTGGTCACAGAGGGAGAATAGAATTAGCAGGAGCAAAGCTTGAAAAATTTGGGGATGAGAGAATTTTGGTTTCAGATTACAGCTCTACTTGCCAGCTCATATGGTCGAGAAAGTTAAGTTCATCTAACTGAACCTCAATTTTCTCACCTAGAAAATTGTGAGGATTGAATGGATGAAAGCACATCTAACCAGTAGCACAGCTCCAAGCACACAGTTGGCTGCTCTGATGTGTCGTCACTGTCATCATACGCCCTTGTTCTTGAAGGAAAGGAAGGCAGCCTCCTAAGCTCCAAGTTGATGCTCTCTTCAAAGAATATTGGTTATGTGCTCACTGTGTGTAAGTGTGCCATAAAATGGTGCTTGTGGCCTCACTGAGTTCACTTGCCAACTTCAGCAGGGGCAACCATTACAGACAGCTGTCAGGAGGCAGAAAAGGAGGAGGAGGAGGAGGAAGGAGAGGTCCCAGCAAAATCTGAACCTGAGCGATCCAGAAGTCTCATCAATGTTCCTCTTTTTAGAGCAAGTAAGTCACCAAAGAGGGTCTGGATTAGGCAGAGTTCTCCATGATATGCCCCCACCTCCAGGCAACTGAATATTACAATTTAGGAGTTGCCATCCAGGGAGTCCCTTCCTGGGTCGAGCTCCTCCTGTACCTCAAGCACCTCTAGTCTTCACATGCCCCCCCCAAGTTGATGCCATCACCTCAAGGACGTGGGACAGCATGCAAACCAACCTCAGGACAAGAGCCTCAAGCCCTCTGGGCTTCACACCTAAATCACCATAACATCTGGTCCCCAGAAGCAGCCTAGTCAGACATATCAAATCTGTCAGACACCACTTGCGACTTTGTTCTGGCGACCTTGAGTGCTGGATCCTCTGTACTGCCTGAAATCAGGCAGAGCCTAGCTGCGAGAAGACCCAGATCATCATTCATCTCCATCAAAAACCAGCCCTAGGAATCTAGGACAGAGATGCTGGTGAGTATGCTAAAGAGAAAAGTGGGGGAATGAGGGAGAAGGCTGAGTGGAAGTGAGATAGATGCCTTAGTGGTTACTGCACTTCTAGCAAGATCAATGATGGCTGCCTTTTGAAGAAAAAAAAAGCTGTGATTGGATGATGTGTGTCTGTAGCTGCTTGGCAGTCTTCTAGCTGCGGAGACTGTTGTTTCTTGAGAATTGACTATGTCAGTCATCATAGAAGCAGAACCAGAGCAACCCAGAAAGAAAGAGGGGCAGAATGAGTCTCCAGGATCAGGGAGACTTGAATGGAGATGACCATCACCTGGACAACACTGGATGCTGAGGAAGTCCCCACCTCTACCCTGCCACTGCACTCTGAGCATGGGAGGTAGCTTGTGTGGCTATCACTCAATCTGATTTCTTTCTTCCCTGCATATTCTTACAACACACTAAAGATCGGTGGGAGTGGGTTGGCTCTACTACCGAAGTCAACTTGGTCACAGGAAAAGCCTGTTTCTACCACTGCTGCCTCTGTGAGTCTTGATTTATTTAAACATTGCATAGGTAAGAAATTAGAAGAGAAGCTGCTCATTTACATATCGCTCCCTGGTGGCAATATTTTCTGTGTTGGCCCTACCTCAACAGCCCCACTAGTTAGGGGCTGTGAGGGGATAGCACATGCCAAGGCCCTGTGGCAGTTGACAGCATGACTGGTATGACCAGAATTTAGAGGATGAGAGAGTTTGTGCTATTTGCTAAGACTGAAGAGGTCAGTGGGAACAGACTCCAGAGGACTTGAGAGCCAGGTGAAGGAATTTGGTATATCCTAAGAGCAATGAGAAACCACAGACCTTTAGGCAGGAGGATGACATCAGATTTTTTCAAAAAGAGACAGGTATGGCTGCTCTGTAGGGAATGGATTGGAGGTGATGAGATCAGGAAGAGGTGAGAGATGAAGGTAGCCTGCACTGGGGAAGAGGCAGTGGGAATAGAAAGGAGACTTACTCTTGGAGATATTTGGAGGATGAACCAGCAGGATTTGGGGAGGCCTTGAGAGGGGAGGGGTAGACAGCAGAGAGGAGGCATCACACAAGACATTCAGGTCAGCTCTGGAGCCAAGCTCTGGGCTTCCCTGCCATTTCTGTTCACTGTCAGTACCTGGATAACTTTTATCGTAGCCTCTGCCCCCAAATTGTTCCTGTGTCTGAGTCTATCCACTGACACTAAAGGCTCCTAGAGGACGAGGCTTCACTTCTTTCCCCTGCACAGGGCAGGGCACAGAGATGGCCTCAGTGAGGTTAAGGAGAGGACAAGCAGCCCTTGTGGGCTAAAATCTGCTTGCCACTTGGGTGTGAGTGCCCTGAATGGATAAGAGTCTGAGTATGTCTGTGTTTCTGTGATCAGCTTTGTATGGTCACGCCAAGGCCATAGCCAGCAATATCAGATTAATAAGGACTGAAGTTGAATGTTATAGAAAATTTGCTGCCTGGCTAATCTTTTACAGAGGCGGTGCCCATCACCCGTAGTAGGCAGAGTGGTGCCCAGCATGTCTCTGTTGGACTAGAGCTTTCCCCAAGTCCTGGGATGTTAAATATTTGTCTCCTGGAGGAAAGCTAAAAATCCTCAAAAGCTAAATTTTTCCTTCTCATTTCGTTCAGAGCTGTTACTTATTTGTCTGGACTTCCTGACCTTCTCTTCACTATTCTGTATTCTCCCTGCTTCCTGGTGGAGCTATCAAGAGTGAACAAGCTGTTTACTCCCCAAACACACTTTTTTCTTTTGTTTTTCTTTTTTTTTTTTTTTTTTGGCCAGGAAAACAGCAGATCCAAGAGTTTCTCCTCCCTCCCCTGATTCAAGAGTGGGTGTGGAAGCTGCTGACCAGCAGTAGGGGCGATGGTGGGGGAAGTGGGGGGAAGCCAGGTCTGAGTTTGGGTGTGCGAGCAACCAGGGCAGGGACATGCCCTGCTGTTCTCTGAAGCAGAGCCCTGGAGGCCTTGCATTGTGCAATAGGGCTGCCTAGCGAACCCTCCAGCTGTAGTAGGCAGGGAGTAGACCCACCTCCAGTCCAGAGCTTTTGGTTTGCCCTTCCTCCTGGCCAGTAGGCACTGGGCAACATCAAGTGCACAATTCCTCAAATATACCCTTCCCCAAGTTAGAAACCCTTCCCCTCCTGCATAGCCCAGGACCTCTAGTCCCTTTGGAAGAGTTTTGCTCATTTCCTTTTGGGGGAGGTTTCTAGGGTTCTAGTCCTCAGAATTATATTACTAACCTTGCCCTGGTCACTCTTATCACCTGGAAAACGTTCCAAGGTAGAGCAGCTCCAGGGTGTGCCAAGGTTCAGAGTAGAACTTTGAGAGGCTAGGGATGAAGAGTTTGGGCACAGGCCCAGAAGCCTCTCCGCTTCTGTGATAAGGCACATCCCCAGTGTGTGGGTGTGTGGGTGTGAGTAGGGGTGATGATTCTTGAAGTAGACAGCTAGGGCGAGGGCCTGAGGCTGGTAATGGGGTGGGGCCTGCAGAGCCAGGACAGGAACTTAGCCATCAAAGTTTCTGGGTGAGCTAGAGCCAGAGGAGCCACAAGATAAGGCGGGTGTAGCCACAAAATCCAGGTTCCAGGCCTTTCCTTAGGACCCATTCTTCTGACCTCAACAAGGTGGGGGATTCCACACTGAGGTAGGAGGGATCCTGGCCAGCCGGTCAGCTAGTAGCCCTGGGGGAAATGTTGCTGGGGTTGGGGGCTCTGCTGCCCTAGAAATGAGTCATTTCCTTCCACTCAAATAGCCTACTGTCTGGGTTCTTGCTCTGTTGGGTAAACATTCCCTGAACCTCCCCAGCTGGTTGCTCAGTTGGCATCCCCAAAGCCCCTCCATTCAGGCCCTGGGGAGGTGTAGCATCTCCTGAGGAAGGAGCTCTTTCCTGAGGCTGACTGGAGAAGATGGGAGAGGGGTGAGTCCCCTCTGGCTGGAAGCCCTGGGGGAACAGACATGCAAGCTGGGGAGTAAAGTAAGAGAGAGAGAAGGTTAAGGGGCAGAGGGTCCCTTACAGAATCCAGAGTCCATAAAGTTAACTCCTTATTTCCAGAGATTATCTCCTT